GCGAGGGGGCACCTCGCCACCCCCTCCCACCCAGGCGCCCCGCTGCTCCCATTGCAGGAACCCTGGCAGAGCTCAGAGCAGAGGGGAGGGTCCCGGCTCCTGCTCACTCGCCCTCCCCGGTCCCGCTGCCCCAGCATCACCCACCAGAGCCCAGGCGGGGTCCTCAGGTGCCCGGTAGCGCAGCTCGCACTGCAGCTCCATGTGCGCATTGCTCCGCGCCACCTCCCAGGCCAGGGCAATGCAGTCGGTCTGGAAGGGGATGGACTGGATGCTCTGCAGGGCCGGGGGGTCCAGCTTGGCTGGAGGAAGAGCCAGGGAGAAAGCTGGAGAGGTGCTGCGGCGGGCGGCGCGCAGGGCCGTGGCCTCGCACGGGGCCATTGTGAACACCACGAGCTGCAGGCGGGGCGCTGGCCTGCCCGGACCCCTAGGCGAGGATGGGGTGAAACCGCTCCAAAACATTTAGGAGAATGGCTCATGGTAGGGGATGGGAGCTGATGCATGCCCCTGCCCGGGGCACAGGGTGATGCTCGGGAGCACGGCACCGGCGCTGCTCTGCAGCCCGGGCTCCAGGCGGGGTTAACGCCTACACAGGAAAAACAGAGCCCATGGACCCGGGGTCTGGTACGTGGCCAGGAAAGATGGACGTTTGGGTCTGCTGGGGGGTGAGAGCTCCGCACAGCCGTGGGAGGGCTCAGCTGGCTCGGGGGCAGCCCTTCCCTGGGCGCAGAGCAGGGAGGATGAGTCGCGCCGTCTGGGAAGCTTCCTTTTATAAATTGTTTATAGGAGCTGAATATATTATTAATAGACCTCCTGAATAAATGCGTAATCAATTGCTGGAGAGAGTTGTAGAGTGCAGCAGGTCAACCGGCAGCTCATAACCCGCTGGCACACGCTGCTCTGTCTGTAATGTGGCTTTGGCACCTATTCATCCCGGCAAGCCATTTATCATGGGGACCTGCCCGTAAAATACGACCTAAAAGCCCGGCGTGCTTTAATGGCACTCTAATACCCCGCTCTCACCACTGATGAGCTTCCTCAGCCCCTGACCTCTCTGC